CCAAGACGTTTTCATTGGAAGATACAAAACCACACAATTTAAATGCAGAACAAAATCGCGCAGGTTGGACGGAAGCCACTTTGGTCGCTTCAATCGCGTCGCTTGTCTGGGGCTGTCACTTGCGTGCCGTGGGGCTTGTCTGCTGCGGGGCGCTCGTTTCTTCTTGGCACGGCGTGATGTCGTACTTGTTGTAGCACCTACCGCTGCACCAGCGTCCGATCTTTGAGCACTGGCAGTCGCTTGTCCCACGGCCTCCGCTCGAATGGGTATCCCCGAATCGATGTTGTCGCCACCATCATCCGCCACGTCGCCACCATCATCCAACCGTCCCTCATTGTCGCCACCATAATTGATACGTCAGCGTAAAATTCCAAACGTGGTGTCGATCGAAAGGAACTCAACCGGTCGAATGGTAGGTCGAAAAGTGGGGACTTGACTGCTGCGGGCTTGACGGTGGCTGCTGCTGGCCCGTGCACATGACACTTGGTCTTCTTGTGGCCAAACTGGCCGCAATTGCTGCATCCATACCGGCCCCGAGACACAGCACTTGAACCGCTCGCAGACTCGCCCTTGCTGAGGAAGCGCTTGTACCGGGGCCGGCCAGCTTGAGTAGACATTGGCGGCGGGAGTACTGGTATGTCGACCTTGGTGGGCTTTTCTGGTAGGTAGACGTAGGAATCGGCAATCGCCGCACAGTAGCCAGATACCAAGTAACTTGAATGGAAGGCTTCTTCGATTCGTCTGTCTTGTTCAATCGAGCGGAGGGTGGCATTGATATGACGACAGGGTACTCGCATGTGATGATACGTCGAGCAAGTGCAGCATGGCGAGTTGTTGACACCACTGGTTGGGTAAACGTTTTTTTTTTTTTCAGCGGAGTCCCGGTGTGCCAGCAAGAATAGACGGTTGGGGAAGCCTTGTGTATCATGTATGCACCCGCGAGTTTTTTTTCATCGGCCAAGAGTTTTTTTCCGCAATCGAGCAACCTGCACTGTGGAGTTGCGGCCATCAACGCCTCGGCCTTGTCGTTTTGGTTGGACGCTTGGGTGGAAAAACGCGTCGTGATAATGTTGATGGCGGCGCATGGATCGGAGGTTCGAGTCTCGTCCTGGAGAGTCGACGCATTGTCGCTTTACACAAAATTGGTGCTGCGACAGCCAAAGAGTCGTCGCGCTTGATCGTTCGACGAGTCCGAGTTGGCATGAACGGTCCACATGACCGGGTCAATTTTCTCCAGCAATTCGGCAATTCCATCAGAATAAGTTGCCTTGACCTCGGCCATTTTGATCTTGTACGCAGTGTCGGACTTGGTCTCTTGCACGGCAAGGATCAATTGGTCCAGCGGCTTTTTCCCACGTTCGATAGACTGGCAGTTCCGTTGAATGTGAATGGTGCAAATTTCAAACAAATCATGTAGCCTTTATCCTGCAAGATTTTTTGAGCGGCAATGGTTGGCTTGGAATGGCCGACAAATAGTGGGAACTGGGTGAGAGGAATTCCAGCAATCATACAACGTTTCCAGAACCAGTCGATGTACTGTTCGTTTTCCTTGGGGACAAAAGCGTACGCCAATGACACATTCTTTCCATCGCCATCGCAATCCATGAGATTGAAGATGACACCATTGTAGCCGTGGTGCTTGAAGTGAGCTCCATCGAAACCCAAGTACGGACGCAGACCGTCCATCATGCGACCAATGTTTCCAGGGGAAATAAACATCTGAAAGAACCGACCATCCGAGTCCAAGTCAAAGTCCACAGTCGCACCCCGATCCCGGTTAAAATCACGAAACGCAATCAACCAACCAGGGATGTCGGAGTAATTCCCCAGTTGGTTGAGCGTGTTCAAACCAAGCGCTTGGCTCGATACGTCAGTGAGTACCGATTGGAAATGTCCTCGCCACATTGCAGTTGGACACCCGTGGCCAATACCTTGCGAGTGGCCTTCGGATTGGCGGTAACATCAGCCACAAATGCACCCAAAGCCGCGAGCTGACGGGCTTTCGCCTTGCGAACGGACGTGCACATGTCATCATGACCCCCACGAAGCACAAATACCTCCCCCTTGTCTTTGGTGGCTTTGGCACGAGACTTGCGTACGTGTACTTGCCAGTCGCAATGGTCGTCAGTACACGCGAACTTGCCGTGACCACCACCCGTTTTGTTGTTGACTTTATGAATCTGAAAGTCGTGATTGAACGCTCACTCGTACAGAAATTGAGTGGCGATCGCGTATGAGCCCAGAATCATACCCAACTCGAGTTCTTCGTGGCCGTACAATCGCATGAGGTCGATTTTCGTAGCGTTGGAAGACATAGCTTGACGGGGTCGAATGGTGGCTGGTGCGTTCAAGGCAAAAGGCAAAAGGAGTTATGAAACCAGTCGATGCAGCTGTCGGGGCGGTTCATGGCTTACTTGGTCTAGGATTGGCTAAATATCTTCCAATGAAAACGTCTTGGGTTTGTTATCCATGATTGGTTGATAAATGTTGAATATCTACCAATGGGAGCAAGCTTGCGTGCACTTTTTGACACAGCGTGCACTTTCTGACAAACAGGTGGTCAGAGCGTGCACTTCTTGACATTATCCCTGACTGCAGAACTACTTCTGAAGTCGCATCAACAGGCATTGCTCACACAACGCTATGGACAGCGCTCCTCCATGCTCTGCTGCAAGTGTTTTATGCATACCAGTGGTGTAATATATTAGAAACATTTTGCCAGAGCTTGTTTTGCTCAAAGAAAGTGAAAAAGAGAGTAATCAGTCCGTTTATTTGGGTAAGCCCCATTGAGCAAAGAAACCTTTCTCCATGTCTGAGTAAAAACACCGTAGCAGCACTCCTGAGGAGCATGGGTTTGAACCCAGGTAGTCGAGCCACTCGTGATCAAACCAGAGTCTCAAATACAACGCTTTGGCACCCACATGTCTGGTCACCGGTGACTCTTAGCGAAATATTTAGCTCGATTTTTGCAACCAAATTTTTCTATATTCGAGATCTATTTTGAATATTACAGCTGTAGAATCTTGCCAGGTGACAGACACTCTTTAACAGGGCTGTTCAAAATCTAGACACCCAGTGTGGATAAGAGATCTCTTGAAACGACTTCAAAAATATTTTTGTGACATCTTCATGCGCACCATTTCATGACACGATATAAGATGCTCTGCACGCCTAAGTTTATCTATCTCATGACAAGATGCCGATACCGAAAACAATTGAGAATAATGAGCTAAGATTTAGCCCTCTATCTCTGAAACGTTGTCAACATCTTAGAAGCCTTTGTGATTCCACTGCTGGATGAAGGCCATCCCACACTACGTTGATCAAGGGGGTTATTTGACAATACTTCTCCACGCTGTCGAGTGCAGGTTAGTGATGGGTTCCTGTATAACTTGCAACTGATGTCCACTCTGGCCAGCAAACAAAGTCAGGTTCTCTGGGTTCATAGCCCAGTTGCACTAACCACTATATCAGTGCTGCAATCCTTGGTGGATTTATGAAATGGGAATCACTGCATAACATCGACAGAGGTCATAATATGGATAAACTGGCCCCTGTCGTGAGAATATGGCATATCCAACACCAGCTAGTTCATTTGAACAAGAAGACACCTTGATGTTGACTCGTAAATAGTTCCAGTCCAGTGGCACGGTGGCAGGTGCCTATACTAGATGGTGTGGCGAGTAGGAAGCTGATAATAAAATCAATAACCAACATAATTACCGCAAAGGTTTTTTTGCGCTTGCGCTGTATGGCTCTCTGATGTGCTTCCTGATTGTGGTTCGGCACGATATCCGACGTTTATCTCCCCGTGCTAGGAGCTTCTTCATTCAGAATCTGGTACGAAACGTCGGATATCGAGAACCAAAAACAAGCCCTTCCTAAAGTACGATTATTCAGCTAGGTGGCACTGTCGGCAGAGAAAACTATCGAAAAATTACAAATTGAAAGCTTGACTGACGGTCAACTCAGCCCATAATTAACCCTGTTAGGGGCAATACATACGAGTGCAAGTTTCGCACAACAAGTCCGCATCGATTATAATTGTACAGCGTTACCGGTCCCGGCAATAACAACGTCGAACATTCACCAGGCCACCCAGCTCTGTGCCCATGTGAGAAGGAAAAAAACGTTTTGACCCTGCTTAGGCTTGACGGCTGCAGGGCCTGCGTTCTAACCATTACGTTTCGGTGGTAGCACAAATGTGAATACTGAAGGGGAGGGGTGAGAGGGGACAGGCATAGCAGGGCATGGGGTGAGATTGTCAAAGTCATTTTAATTTTTTTAAATTTTACCAGGTAAGGCCCACTGAGCTATATAGCTACTTTTCAGAAGCGAGCTGGCTATCACAAATAATCACTCAACGCAATGGCTTATCGTGTGACAATCTATAGCAGCGAAATACTCGAAACGCACGTTAATTCTAAATGTGGCGGCAAAAACTGGAGGACCCAGAGAAAAACCCGCGCGATCACGGGGAGAACATGCAAACTCCACATATGCAGGCGTCAGGGTTGGGATCGAACTCACGACCTCCTGTATATCCGGCGAGGTAGTTAACATATCGCCACCGTGGCATCGTATGTGACAACTTGTCCATATGACAAAATTGTAAAACATGCTAAAAGCACGCCATCCCCACCTTGGAATCGAATCTGGGACCATGTAATTCAATAAAGGACACCTAACCCCATCACACTATGGTAGCGCTGCCATATTTTACATTTACAGCTATTTTTTTCTGCTGCTGAACGATAAGATCAAGGGGAGCGTGTTCGGAACTGGAAGTGGATTTGAGTCACAATGGGCCCCTGTCGCGATTTGGGTCCTGCAAGACCTGGTACCACGCATCCTTCAACGCGTGGCCCTGAACCGCCTGCGAGCTGACATCACGACAATGGTGGGCGCGAGAATGTCGCGGGTGCGGCTTCCCGATCTCCCGTGACCATCGCGCACCAACCGCTTGTGAGCACATGCACAATATAAGTATATATATACACCTGCCCGTTCTTGCACAGGTCGGCCCACATGCTGGTGCCGTCGCCTCCCCGCATGAGCACGTGGTAGGTGAAGAAGTACGTCCCCGAGATGGAGCACGTGAACTTGCCGCTGCCCGGGTCGTAGTGGTTGCCCAGGTTGGTGACGACGTCGTCGAAGCGCAGCACCTCGTAGCCCTCGTGCGGGTTGCGCAGCCCCGCGTAGAACGCGATCTTGGGCGCAGAGTAGTAGGTGGGCACGCTCACCGCGCCGCCCGCCCCCTGGCTCGACCCGGCGCCCAGCGCGTGGCCCGGGACTCCGGGCCTCCCGGCGTCCCCCTTCTCGCCCTGGGGTCCCCGGGCACCCGGGGGACCCGGCTCTCCGGGCGGACCCCGAGGGCCCGGCCGCCCCGAGCGGCCCAGTTCCCCCTTGTGTCCCTGCGACAGCTGCATGGTGGTGGGCGGGGTGAAGGACGACGAGGACGAGGAGGAGGCGGCGGCGGCGCCCGAGGAGTCGGCCGAACCGTCGGCGCTGTCGCGTCCATGCAGGTAGGGGTCACACACCGTGCGGCAGGTGCCCAGCATCTCGTGCGTGACGGCGGCGTGCTTGGAGTAGACGAGCACGGGGATGGCGATGAGCAGCACCAGCACCATCACCACGCCCACGGCCGCGGTCACCAGCCACTTGCGCCGCAGGTTCACGAAGACGGGACGCGTGCCGCCGCTGGTGGTCTTCGTCACTGGGACCGGGGTGATGCTCTTCGCCTTGACGGATTGATGGAGGGATGATGGATAGAGAGATGGGTGGATGGATGGATTGATGTGATAGGTGGGTGGATGTATGGATGGGCGGGTTGATGGATGGATGGATGGACGGACGCTTGACGGAAGGGCAGGATTGATGGATAGGTGGGTGGATGAATGGACATATAGATGGGTGGGCGGGTTAATGGATGGATGGACAGATGGATGACGGATGAATAGAGAGATGGGTGGATGGATAGAGGGTTTAATGTATGGGTGGTGAGTGGATGAATTTTAAAAGTTTATGGTGAGTTGATCGGTGGATTGACAAGTGTATATTCGGATGAACAGATGGATGTGTTGACATGTGGGTGAACAGATCGATATAAGTGTGGGTGAATGTACAGATGGTTGGATGGTGGTTGAATGGATGGACACATGTGGATGAACAGATGGGTGGACAGACAGATGAGTGAGTGAACAGAATAATTGTCAGATGCATGGACAGACCGACAAATAGATGAATGGATGGCAGGTGGGTAGATGGATGAGAGGAATAGAAGGGAGGCAGGCAGGAGGGCAGTTAGAGAGACACACATAAACGTATGCACATCATTGAACAGATTGTTGAATCGCATACTTTAACACACAATCTCAAAGTAATTCCATTGCACCAATATACACTGCGGATAAGCCACCGTGGTGTAATGGGCCACAATTCGGAGGTTTAAGGCAGTTGAAAAAAAAACGGTGAAAGTTTCTTAAACCACCCACCTCTGTCCACCCAGCAGTCGACTATAAATGGATGAACCACATTTAGTCGACAGGTCACGTGTGGTGGGGTAAAGTGTGGGTACTCACACCTCTTCCAACATGCCTACGTATGTATGTTGAACTTTTTTCGCGCCGTAGATAGCCGACCGTGCTAATCGGAGGTGCATAACAGATCTGGCCGACGAAGGAAGAGTAAACCAAACGCCACTCTGGCGATCGCTCTCCCTTGGAGGCCATTCTGCCAGCAGTGGCATGAACACGCAATTGTTGGGGCCGCACCCTATATACAATAATAACATTACTCATTGTTTTTTTCGGTAAAGTCATGTATGTAGAAATATAATACAATTATATTAAAACAAAAAAAAACAATCACGACGTTTCGATCACAACGCAAGCGATCTTCATCAGGTGTCAAGAACAAATCACGGAGGTAAATACAACAAAAAAGATGAGAGACGAGAATTCAACAAACCTGAAAAAACATTATGTGAAGCACATCCAGTCAGGCCAACAACACAGTTAGACACTTCCTGGCGGACCACGAATTTCAGAAGAGTGTTAACACTCTTCTGAAATTATTTTATGTTGTATTTACCTCCGTGATTTGTTCTTGACACCTGATGAAGATCGCTTGCGTTGTGATCGAAACGTCGTGATTGTTTTTTGTTTTAATTTAATTTTATTGTATTTCTACATACATGACTTTACCGAAAAAAAACAATGATTAATTTTATGCAGTCACGAAAGCTTTAATACTTTAATAATAGCATTATTCATAGTTACGGTAATAGACATTGGAATGCAGGTGGAAGGCCACCTGTGAATGGTGAACCACTACTCGAGTTGGCCACGCTCGAGAGCCCAAGTCCAGAATCTGGCTCCTGAATCGTGTTTTAAATCTCTACGTTGGAAATAGAGGGCACTGGAGCAGGCCCGGAGCCCAAACTGGAGCTCTGGATTTGCCTCCAGTATTTTTCTACCAACGCTACCACACAGCAATATCCTGACTGCTTCACCTCGCCCTGAATGTTGGTGCAATCCGCCTTTTTCTACCGTCGCCACCTCTCCCCGCGTTCCCATCAACCGGAACTGGAGCTGAACTTATACCGGAGCTGGAGCCAGAGTGGCACCGCGGAGACGTTAATTACCTCACCTGGTATACAGGAGGTCGTGGGTTTGATCCAGACCCCTGACGCCTGCATTTTTGGAATTTGCATGTCTCTCTCCCCATGGTTACGTGGATTTTTCGTCGGGTCCTCCCGTTTTTCCCTCCACATTTACAAACATGCGTTTAGAATATTTGGCTGCTGTACATTTCCACATGATATGCCACTTTGTCGAGCTATCATTTGTGGATAGGTCGCTTCTGAAAAAGAGCTATATAGCTCAGTGGGCCTTATCTGGTAAAATAAATATAGTTTAGTTTTCACATCATAGTTTTAATATTATAGTTTAGAACCTGCCAACCCTGCCCCACGTGCTGAAAGTAACGTTGAGTGAGCAGTTACGCAATTGCTCAAGTTGTGCGTTTGGTTTAAACGCCAGACTCACAAACGCTCTGTACCTCGCATAAATAGCCACGCAGAAGGTGCCCCGAGCTATAAATAGAGCCCTGAGTTAATGGAGTTAGATGTGTCAAGTTGCGTGTATGGCTAAACGGGAGCTCTTTGTCTTTGCATGCGAGTGATGTGCATCTGGGGTGCGGTAGTGTCGCGATTAGCGCACTACACTACTCACCTCTAATTCAATTCCCAGCCACGGCTAACATCAGTGGTGATAATTTGAATTGGTCCTGGGCTTCCTCTAGCTCGACTGAGCTAACAAATGAGTACCTGGTGCGGTGTGTAAACATCGTCATTGGAGAGACAAAGGTAGTCGGGCGTGGTGTTGACCACTCATCGCCTGGTGCGCCGTGCCGCTAACAGCACTTGCCCCAAAAGCCTGTTAAGGCTATACGGGGGACGTTTTTGGTGTGAGTGCATTTGTGTGTGATTGTGTGTCCATGTGCATTATTTCTGAGGTTTGTGACCTTTGATACAATCCCGGAGAGGCTGGGTTCGATTCCTGACCATAGTTAACACCAGCAGCAAGTTAGATTTTAACCCATCATGGGGCCTCCCCTAGGTCTACTCAGCCTTAAATAGCTGGTGTTGTGTGCGTATATTGGCACTACGGAAATAAAGGTTCTGGGCACACCACCCCTTCAAACACCCTGCTGGCTTTAATAGACGTTCGCTATTAGCACTTTGCCAAACAGGTTAAAGGTCATAGGGGGGTGTTTTGTCTTTTTTGCATGTGTGTGCATATTAGCATAACCGTGTGAGTGTGTTGCATTGATGCATATATAAATCTATGCGTGTAAGTTAGTGATCTGACTAAGCGTGCGTATGTTGTTGTTGTGTGTTATCTTCGTGTGCATGAGTACGACGTGTCTGTGTATGATTGCTTTGTGTGACTGTACGAGTACACGTGTGTGCGTGTTAGCATGTATGTACGATCACAAATCGCTCTTTAATTCCATCAAAAAAGTAACTTGCAGCGCCACACCTATTACCATCATTAGGAGAAAGAACGGTGATCCAATCTCTGATCCCCAGGAACAGGTTTTCAGATTTGCTGAGCATTTCTGTGAGGTCCTGGGGGAGGGGAAATCCCTCAGCCTTGAAAACATCATAGGGCAAAGTGGGAATTACTCTGTTGAGGCTTCTGTGCCTCAAATATGGGAGGAAGAAGTCACCCCCTGTGAGTGGCTGGCTGAGGTGCCATCTGTTGAGGAAGTACTGAAGGCGATCCAGGGTCTGAGACCAAGAAAGGCACCGGGCAGAGATGATCTCCCAAGCGAAATGCTGAGGGAGAATGGCGTTTGTGCACAGACTGCCCTACATGACATAACAACAGTGTGGACCACTGGACGGGTTCCGCAGGATTGGAGGGATGCCCTGGTGCCCTGGCGGTCCCCCTCTTTAAGAAGGGGGACCGCACAGACTGTAACAACTACAGGGGCATCTCACTCCTCAGTGTGCCGGGAAAGATCCTGGCAAGGATTATTCAACATCGCCTTGTTAGGCACGCTGAGGAGAGGCTTGGTTTCAGGAACCGGCGGTCCTGCACAGATGCCTAATTTTCTGTCCATCTGCTACAGCAGAGGTGGAGGGAATTCCAACAAGACCTACATCTCTGTTTTATTGACCAGGTCAAGGCCTATGATAACATCAGTAGGCCTGGGCTCTGGGTTCTTCGTACTTTCGGAGTCCCCGACTCTCTGCTCACAATCATGAAGGACCTTCATGATGGTGAGCGGGAACGGGTAAAACTACGTGGCCGGGAGTCGAAGCCATTCCCTGTACACCTTGGGGTGCGACAGGGATGTTCTTTAGCTCCCACATTATTTAGCATCTATTTCGACCATGTAGTTCATGAAGCCTTCGATTACTGTACCGGAGGAATTTCCATCTGGTACAGATACAATGGGAAGCTGATCGATACCCAGGTGCGGTCAAGATATGGCTCCCCATTGGTCAACCATGTTACATATCCCGATGATCTGGTAATTGGAGGCGCTGCTGCTGAACCTGGAGCGTGCCATTAAGAGGTGGGGCCTTACCATCAGCCCCACCAAAACTAGGCACGTGCCTGGGTATTTTGTACCATCGGGCACTCCACCCACACAACTCTCAGTTAATGATGGGGCAGTTGTAGAGAGAGGGGAGAGCTTCCCATACCTGGGCAGTGTGCTCATGAGCGGCTGCAGTTTGACAGCAGAGGTCTCACTCCGAATCAGTCAAGTGGCATTATCTTTTCATCAGTCGCGTAATGCTGTGTGGAAGCTACCTGGTCTGTCGCTCCACACGAAGCTTCAGGTCTTCTCGGCCACAGTCATTCATGCCCTCCCTTCTCTAGGCTTGTGAAACGTGGACCCCCTTAATGAAACATCTTTGCCGGTTAGAAACATTTAGGTTGGCCTGCCTACGATCCATCCTGGGTTTGAACAGGCTGGATTGTGTGAAGTGCTCACATATCCTTGAACGATTTGGACAAAGTCCCATCGGTGAGCTCCTCTGGCAGACAAGGCTGAGTTGGCTGGGTCATGTAGCCCGCATGCCCAGCCACTGCATGCCTAAACAGCTTTTGTTCAGCTGGATAGAGGAGGCTAAACGGGTGCGGCACGGGCTGGAGAAGAGATGGAGTGATGTGGTACAGGAGGATATGGAGCTGAGTGGACTTGCCGGTGACTGGTACCAGTGGTGTCAAGATCAGCCTCTGTGGAGGAGGCTCGTGAAGAATGCTACTGGGCAGTTAGAGGCAGTTGCCCTCCAACAACAACGGAGGGCGAGGAGCGATGCCCACAACAATGAGCGGAGTGCTGAGTGGCTAAAGCACAGCAAGTTGGCACAGTAGGGGGGCACAGGTGGCGCATCGGCCACTCATATCAGTCAGTCGACCCGTGGCACCTGGGTCTGCCCCGTGACCTCCTGCCAGCGGGCGTTCTACACTTAACGTGGCCTCAAGGTGCATATAACCTGGCACAAGCGCCGTGGTGACGTCACCACCACTTAGTGGCGAATGGCGGTTGTTGTTGTTGTTGTTTGTACGACTCTGCGGTAGTGTAGCGATTAGCGCACTACACTACTAACCTCTTAATCAATTCCCGGCCACGGCTAACATCAGTGGTGATTATTTGAATTGGTCCTGGGCCTCCTCAAGCTCGACTGAGCTAACAAATAAGTACATGGTGCGGTGTGTAAACGTCAGCACTGGGGAAACAAAGGCGGCCGGGCGTGGTGTTGACCACCCACCCCCACGTGTGCCGTGCCGGCCTTCATAGGTGCTCGCTAATAGCACTTGCCCAAACCGTATGTTTAGGATATATGGGGGATGTTCGTCTTTGCCCACAAATGAGTAATGTGTCAATCAAAGAGCCCGAGCCATCAGTGGCAATGCCATATTCCCGTTACTCCACAATCACCACCCCTATTGACATCCCACAAATGAGTAGCTATTTTATCGACCCCAGGGAATAAGGTTGATTGACTCAGTCAATTCAACTGGGAATTGAACTCGCAACCTTCCAGTTGTAAATCATAATCTCGCACATGGTCCCACCCAGCGCAATTTAAACATAGTCATGACTCACAGACACTACTTACCAAGGAGCAGCAGCAGGAATCAAACCATGACCTTCGTTACAAAGTGGCTCGGACCAAAGGACATGGTTATGACAGGATGAGCAATGGGTGCCAAGGGACATGTACATTCTAACCCAACCCCCCAACCTCTCCCCATCCTTCCATCGACCTAACCGGTTTTTTTTCGTAATTACCACTTCGATGTTGTATGTTCAACAAGGTTAGCAACGCGTGCATTGTAACAAAAAAAAGGCCCTGCCAATTAGCGGAGCTGTACACGGCTGAAAGAAAGCAACTTTCCCTTCACTGAGATTAATTTAGTAGCAGCCTCTGCTGCTCAAGGGGCCACTGCTGCCCGATTTAACATTTGGATGAAATGAAACGAGACAGCTCGAAGTTCATCGAGGCATTTGCTCTGGATACGGGGGTCCGATGCAAAGTGACAAAACAATTGATTGTGACGAACATATACATTACGTACGTGCGCGGACACGTGTGTACGCGCACGTACGCGACGTGTGTATATATAGAAGGTATGTGCGGTAAATTGTTTTAAATGTGTCGCGATTAATTTCTTGGCATGTAGACGAGAGACAGTGAAAGTGTCTCCCTTGCTCAAATGAGCATCACATGGTGCTCATCTTCGGTCATGATCCAGTGTTTGACATTCCACATTCCTATGGCAGGGTCTTCGCTATACAAAACTATGCAGCGGTCTCGCGAGGTCATGAAACAATGTGCTAATCTCTTTGGGATTATGATGAAGATTATGATCCTCAATGAAGATGATGTAGAGTAACCATTTTCGACTAATCAACATACACTCGTGGCCTAACTGGTTGAGGTGCTCTACTCAGAAAGCCACTGGGCCAGTGGCATTTCCACCACTGGCTAAGAGCATGGAGAGACGTATATATATATTTTTAATCAATGTATTCATTTGACAACATTGCAAGTGCAATTGCATATCGAATGAATTACGCATCTTCTACGTATTCACTTTAGCTTATACTGTACGTACCATATATAGATGTGCCGCAGTTCGCATAAATTGCTTCAGCAGACAATTGTTTAACCGCCTGCGGCTCAATTATGACTGCTAAAGGCCAAGGATTCTGTCAAAAGATTATATTGTGTTGCGCAAATGTGTGAAATATTGCCCCCGGAGACAACCTGATCGAAAAAGCCAAACGATTGTTTTAATTTTACTTGCACAGAGCTGCTACAAAATCGAATTGTCTCCATGCTGAAATGTACAATGGGGCATAAGTCCCCCCTTCAACGCCGACCCTGTACTGGAAATTCCACATTCCTCTTCTCCTGCGACTGGTTCTCTTTCCGTGGGATGACCACTGTTGAAATCAACACGAGGCGGCGGTTTCATTCACCACGGAGGGATCGTTTTTTTCTAAGTAGACCCATGGCCAGGATTTCAACATGCTGCAATTCTGATTGTCGGTTGAGTATTTTCATCAAAGCACCACCCAGGTAAGTTCTAAGGCAGCTGCAGTTCAATAGACTGTAGGAAAAAATGTACGCACAAGATCTTTGTCACACGCATACCTTCGTGGTAAGTTTGTAAGCAGTTTGTAAGCAGTAGGAACTTTGAAATGTAAAGTCAATGCCTGCCCACTCGAATGAGCATCGGGCGATGTTCACGTCTATTGACAGCCCTGAGCCAGTGGTGTAATTGCCACATTGGTATGACTCCAAGATATTAATGTCTTGGTATTTTCCAAGTGTGATTACAAAAGGTTAATCCTGAGTGCCTGTTGAGGCTCTATAGGCACTCAATTTTGCACACTCCAACAGGGAATTCCCTGTTGGACCAAACTGCCATGGGAATGAATCAGTACTTGGCATCTGCAGATGACGAGAGACTAGTTCATTTCACTTGCCACTGAGCCGTATTTATTTTCAGTGAATGAGTGCAAAGCTCCATTCCTAGCAGAGCCCTGCCAATAAAATGTGGCGCTAATTACCAAAGTGCTCCATCTGCCGTAGAGTAGAAGTTAAAGATCCTGTGTGAGCAAAATGTAACATCTTAGAATTGCCTGCAATTTTTTTTATTTAATCTACCCAGATAGTAGATATTTGCTATTTATTTGAAACCAGAAATCACAAATGGTCATGGTCTCTCACATGGTTTACTTGGTGGAACGATGGCACAGCAGTTAGCGAGCTGCCACTACGAAAGCAGCGACATCCGAACCAGTCCCCATTCACCAACTCTCAACTGACCACGGCATGGTGAAGAATGGTACAACAGTGCCTCGCGTCCGACACGCTATAGGAAGCCCTTCATCCAGCAGTGCGTTGAGAAAGGGTCGTACATTATGTCACTATTAAATGCCACATTGCTGTTTTGAGCAAGAAGACACTTTGTGCTTTTGATATTTTCCAGTCGCATCAACAGTATGTGGCATTTGAGCATCACGTGGTACACATTAAGTGCTTGTGTTCCTTATAAAACTACGGTTCCCTAGATGCCGATTGTAACAAAGATGTCATCAATCTTGGATCTCACGTGGCTAAAGAAAAGACATTTGCTATGCGTATGGTATTACCGTACAACGCCAGTGTTATACACCGTGATGTGTAATAACTCTCTGCGACTATGCAATATTTTCCAAAACACAACACTGTGTAGATCCTGTAAAAACCCTGCTTCCATATCACATAAATTGTAACAACAAAGATATTACACATCACGTCACCTGTTTAAACACAGGCAGTGTACTCTGCACAGCAAGTCAAAGTGTTTCGCTACTCAAACAACGCATGGGACAGAGCGGTGCACATCTCCGTCAGCAACCCAGATCATGTAGCGTAAATTCCACATTCCTATGACGAGGCCAGTCTGACACCATACGACAGGGACACTAGTATACATACATACATACACACAGAGACAAGGTCCTGTAGTGTAAATTGTAACATTCCTCTTTTTCCGGACCAGTCTCACGCAATACGATAGGCACTCTAGCATACCGTATGTACAGAGACACACTACGCACGGCGCACACAGACAAACACGCACGCACCTGGGCAGGCGGAGGAGCGAGTCGCGCCTGGGTGGATGGATGTCTTTGGCTGGAGATTCTTTCTTTAGGCACTCCTTGCTGTGTCTGAGCCCTTTGCACTTGCTGCTGCTGTTGCTGCTGCTGCTGCTGGGGCAAGGGATGCTGCGACCGGCCCAACATGGGGAGCAGCTTTCCTTAACAAAAAGGTCACCTTTATGAGAGAACAAAATGAAAAGAAGAAGAAGAAGTGTGAGTGGGGATAGAGGATTGTTGTTGAGGGGGGGGGGGGGGATGAAACCGGTAACAACGGTGCAGTGGCTCTCTGCTAGACTGGAGTGTGAGTGTGTGTGCGCGTCTCTGATAGACGCTGGTGTGTGGGGGGGTCTCCTCTTAACCCTTCCCCAGCCTCGACAATTCGCCGACATCACCACCACCACCACCACTGCCTCCTCTCTCTGTGCGCCCACGCCTCTGCGTGTCTGTCTGTGGAGCGGCTGGGTTGGTTTTCGCGCTCCTTTCCTGCCTTGTGGCAAGTTTTGCGTTCGGGGATTGAACTTCACATTTCCTCTCGTTGTCTCTCCGGTGCAGCGTCTTGTCGGGAGCGACTTGTCTATTTAAGCTATCGGTGTTGTTATGTTTTAACGCTCGGTGTACATAATTGAATACGTATAAGTAGACCCGCATGCAATAAATTCATGTTCCACTGTTGTGCGCCGTTCAAAGTTACGCTCGGATTGAAGAATGTTAACTCGTGCTGTTATTTTACCTTATTGTCTATTGAAAATATTTACGTCAACCATGAACTTTATACTGTGTGTGTATATATAGTGTAAAGTCTTATTCATGGTTCATAATTGTTTATTTTTGGGGTTAGCTTGTGTTGCAAAGACCCTCCACCATCCCACAAATGCTTCATTTTATTTCGACAACAGCACCACAATTTTAATTTGATGTTGGGTGGTGGACGGTCAGGACGACACATATTTTGCCCAGATAATTACGTGGTATAACGAAAAAAAAACGTCAATCAAAACCAATTATGAATCATAAAATTGACTGCGAAAACATACGTGTTAATGTTTTCCCTTTTCCACGTTTGTATTTTGTTAGAAGTTATATTTGTGTTTTGGTTACTCCTTCACGTATCTGTGAATTAGATATGTGTTACTATTATATCAGCGCGTACATATATTTCCCCATCGATATCTATGCACAATATGTGAAAGCTGGGTAATTTATTACATTAGGTTACTTACTTACAGTGATGAACTGCTACAGCGGAGAACTGGGTCAAACAGAAATGGCAATTTTCAAACCGCAACTGTTATAAATCAACGGCATTTGATACATATTCTAACGTGCAACATAAATTGAACGCACAAGGTGAAACGGATGTAACCACAAAGCATTAAAAAAAACAATGCGATAAAATGTTCGCGTCAATGAAATGCAAAACAGCATTTTCTAGGAAAGCGCAGTGAAAATAGACTGCAGTTGTAGGCTTGGTAATGATGAAGCATGTTGTGTGTAAGAACGACTATTCTGGACGTGTGACCCATTGATAATTGACATTTACCACAAGCGTACTGGTTCATGAAGTCCGAATGGTGTATTGTGTATCTGCATATGTGTGTGCCTGCAAATCTCACTCAATTCCTCGGTCGGGATGTGGACCGGTATTGCCTGGAGCTCTGTGGAATGCAGGAGGTCTCGTGGACTGGTTCTGGCTCCAGTGACCATGGGGGAAAACATTCCTCCACGCGGGGCAGGAAACTGCTAAACAACAGGGAGTGGCATTGCTTCTAAACAAAATAATGAAGGGGGTGTGGAAGCGTGGAGGCGAGGTGTGGGAGGTTGTGAGTCCCAGGCTGCTTTGTGCTCGCCTCTACATCAACAAGAGGTGAGGAATGGTGGTAGTGGTTGTTTAGGCCACCTCCAAAGATGAACATGAGTGGAGAGTTGCAGTCAGACGTCTTCTATAACCTCCTGTCTCAGGTGCTAGCTAAAGTGGTCCCTCGGGATAGTCATCCTGTTGGGTGACTTAATGCCCGAGTGGGTCATGACGCAGACACCTGGGCCAGAGTGATTGGAAGGCATGAGCCAGATCAGCTGAATAATAACAACGGCAGAAGGCTGCTAGACTTCTGTGCAGCCTCTGGGCTTGTATTACCAACACGCTGTTTCGGCATCGGTGCATCCACACAACATCATGGATGCTATCCGGGTCCAAGCTTGAACATCTCTTAGACTATATAGTGACATAACAGAAGATACGGGCCCATGACCTTAACTGATCTGCCAACTGACCATCGGCTTGTCATTTGTAAGATGTGCCTGCCATTCTTCGACTCCAGTGGTGGGTGTCCACCCAAGACCCCATTCAAACCCACAGTCGCCTGAACTCAGCTAGCTGGTGATAGTCGCAAGCAGAAATTTCAACATCGCTTGCAGCTGGGGTTGGCATCATCCCCTCATCCTCCTGATGCTGAGGGGAGATGAGTGAGGTTTATCTGTGCCGATTTGAAACTTTCAGGCTGGCCTGTCTACGATCAATCCTGGGTTTATGAGCAGCTCACAAATCTTTGAAAGATCTGGATACATTCCCATTAGTGAGCTCCTCCGGCGGGCAAGGCTGCGGTGGCTGGGTCATGTAGACCGCATTCCCAGCCACTGCATGCCCAAGCAGCTTCTGTTTGCCCGAATGGACGGGCGTGGTATGGGCTAGAGAAGAGATGGAGTGATGCGTTCCAGGAGGATGTGGAGCTGAGTGGACTTGCCGAAGACTAGTACCAGCGGTGTCAAGATCGGCCTCGATGGAGGAGGCTCGTGAAGGAGGCTACTGGGCAGTTGGCGGCTGTTGCCCTCCAAAACAACGGAGGGCAGAGGAGCGACGCTCACAACAACAAGCGGAGCGTCAGGCGGCTAAAATACAGCAAGTTGGCACATTGTGTTGGAGGGGGGGTGGCACATATAGTGCATCTGCTGGTCATCGCAGTCACTAATCCCATAGCACCTGGGTCTGACCCGCGACCTCCTGTAAGCGAACCTGCAACACTGCATCTGGCCTGGTACAAGCGTCGCGGTGACATCACCGCCACTTCGTGGTGTATGGCGCCTGTTATTGTTTCACATCTACGCATGTGTACTCATCTTTATATCCACCAGTGTATGTGTGTCTTCATCTGTATCTAATACCTGTATGGCAGCCTCTGTATATGCATCAAAATGCGTATATGTGTGTATATTTGTGATTTGTATATATAAGATCTGTTCATGATTAAATTTTTTAAGTTGCCACAATCAGGTAATCTACCATTTCTATTCACTCCCATTATCTGCTTGTCGTCTAATGCGTTCATTGTTATCACACGTGTTCATTGTTATCACACGTGTTCATTGTTATCAAACGTGTTCATTGTTATCACACGTATTCATTGTCTTCATTATGTTGCATTGTCTTTGAGGATATCATTGGCTTTGTCTCTGTTTATTCGTATGTAGTAATGTTTAATTTCTGCCCTTACTTGTTAAAATATTAGGTTTTTTTCCATTTCTACATCTTCATGTATGTACAGTTCTAGCACGTACGGTTTGTTCCATACACGTCTCGTCTCTCTGCATCTATTCCCATACTTCTATGCGTAGATACAAGTTATGTTGGTATCGTCCATCTTGTTCAACTCTTTATGCCATATCTGTTGTGCAGCCCCATATGCTTGTGTATATCTTCTCTTCACAAACGTATCGGTGCCGTTATAAGCTTTGCTAGGTCGTGTTTCATACTCTTCATTGATATTAGTATCATCATCAGCAGCAGCAGTCAGGGTCAATCCACTGCTGGATGGTGGCCTCCGACAAGCTGCTGCCATTTCTCGCGATTCTGTGACGCAATCATCCACGTGGCACACGAGCTGATTTAATCGCTCCATCTGCTCCGTGGACGACCTCTTGGACACGTTCGCTTAACAACTCGGTGACGAGATGTTAACTCCCTCACCTGGTATACAGGAGGTCGTGGGTTCAATCACGACCCTGGCGCTTGTTGTATATTTGGAGTTTGCATGTCTCTCCCCGTAGTCGCCTGGATTGTTGTCCGGGTCCTCCGGGTTTTTCCCTCCACATTTATTAAACACGCAGTTGACTATTTGGCTGCTATAAGTTTCCACATGATAAGCCACTTTGTTGAGCTATCGTTTGTGGCCAGGTCGATTCTGAAAAAGAGCTACATAGCTCAGTGCGCCTTAGCTGATAATTTTAGTTTTTAGCTTATCCTTGGCTGCCATGTGTCCCACACTCTTCATTAATACAATAATCAACCACGGTCAATCATATATATATACTCGCTGTGCATGTCACGTGTGTGTGCTTGAACCCATATTTAGGAATTAATTTTGTCTAAACAGGTGCAGTGTACACTGCAGGTGGTGTCTCGGTGTCTTTTGTCAAAACGTTTGTTAAAAACGCAGTTTGGTAAATATATATACTTACCACAGAAGCCCACGGCGAAGGGAGTGGGTCGTGTTTAGGGTACCCGCACTACGAGTTCTCATTGGTCGTGGGCTTTGATTTATATCTGCTTCAGTGTCACACTCCACACGGGCTGAAACACTTGGTTCATAAGCAAAGCAAATCAACGTCCTGATGATTTGTTTCACCTCCAATAAGAATGATCATTTTCATATATCTTATGGCTATCAAAGCATTGCCTTAATTGTACTCTGCATTCATGACACTTTAGCTTGAATGACCTTCGAGAACATCATTAGAATATGCAGTCTGTTCTCCTATAACGCATTTTTTCAGAACGCTAATCTCCATATATATAAAAGGCAAAGTTGTGATTATGTGTTGTCTGTTCAAAATGTTTAGCGTACTTCCCGACATGCAACAAACTTGAAATTTGCCATGTGGGTACTTTCCAGACTGTACACCATGCACAACTTATAAAAATACACTTTTTTTTGGGGGGGGGGGAGGAGCTCAATAATATAAGTGAACTGTGACGTCAAATCTGTCATGTGACCCGCGCATGTGGAAGGGTCACGCTGTGTGCCTGCTGACGTCACGCATCCCCCCCCCCCCCCACCCTCTGCGTAGGCCGTGTATTAATCCAAGACAAGAATCCAAGTCTCGGGCGAAGCCGGGTAGTAAAGCTAGTTGTACATAACGCGATTGAGCAAACAGAACTACGTTGCGCGAGTAAGAATAAGCGGGCGTACGGTCCCCCCCCCCTCCCCCACATAGTGTCACACTAGGATGGGATGCTGCTGGATGTTTCCAGATGCTACCCGCGCGCCTCAGTCTTTGTTCGGCCTGCGTACGCATCTCACGTGCTCTCGCGGACTGTGCTTTACCCTTACATTACATATTATATAATGATAACGCGATTTTCCCATAACGCGGTGTTCTTCAGGCACGCAACTACTGTACCGCGTCTCCTACACCGCGTTATAGGAGAACAGACTGCATCTCGGTTTCCCTCAATATTACCCGTTTAATTTAAATGCTACACAATGCGATATTAATTGTACATATCTTCTGTTACAACATGCAAAATTATTTTCAATATATTTTTTTAAGTTTGCTATTTTTTATTGTGGGTTTTTTGCTTTTATCATTTTCAATTGATTATTTTTATTTCATTTTGATTTTATTTTTTATTTTCTATCTACGTGACTTTACCGAAAGAAACAAGA